TTTCCAAGGGGTTAATTTTGTAGGAAGATTTATACAAATTTATTAAAAATGGGGGCAATTTTTGTAGCCTTATAGGCACTACCAAAACATAAATTTTTTAATATATACATTATTAGGAATGTAAAACAACCAATTTTAGATTAAAAGAAAAAAAATCTTTTGAGAAATTGCTCTTAAGCTTCTCCATATATCTTTAATAGTTTTTACCTATAGGAAAAAGATCTAACTTGAGACTGTCACAATGGGTCCTTCTTGAGCAGCAGACCTCCTTAAATCCTAGAACTTTGCAGCCATAGAGGAGGTGACCAAAGAATTTTACCACTAGGAGCACTTCCTGCCATGGCTCACTGGGGCAGGTATGGAGAGGTGGCTTCTCTTATGATGGCCATGGTAAAGCTGTCTTGATTCAGTTTAGATAGACTGAAGAGAGGGGATCAAAAGAAAGGATTTGGGCCTCAATCTCAAGTTGATCCCAACTAGGATGATATGATCTTTGTCCCTCTCTCTGGATCTATGACCTACCTATCTATCTATTTACCAACCTATATATCCACATCTTCCTCTACACCTATGCCTGTATCTACATCTGTGTCCATAGGTATATTGTTCCTGGTGGAGAGCCCTCAACTTGTATCAAGAGTTTGTTTTCACCATCACTACAAAGCTCTTTGTTGAATTGCACGCTGTCTAGACACAAGGGCATTTCCTTTCTTATAATGTGATACCTGTGTATAGACGTTGGATAGAATTACACATGGGCTTGATTGTGCTCCTTACTACCTAGTCAGAATCAGTGTCATTTAAATGAATATATTTCCTGCTACTACACCTGGAAAATCATTACTAATTTGTGGGCACACTGACATAAATTATTATCACTCTTGAAATTAATATAATTTTAATATCGTGTTCTATCAAAAGCCTGCTTTAATTTGGCATTACATAACCTCCATTTCTTGAAAATTGTTGCCATGTGCAGGTTAATAATGAATAATATTGAGAGCTTTATTTTACTTATTTTGTTTCCAAGTTTAATACAGTTCAAAACCTTACACATTTGCATCTGAAACAAAACTAAAGCACTGTAAACTGATTTCTGAGGAATAACATGTCTCCAAATTTTCATCACAGAATGTTTATTAGGAAAGTCAAAATTAAGTGGCATTGTATTATACTAGATCAAATCTGTTAAGATTTGGCAAGTAAATATTTATTGTGACTCTTCATGCTTTATTTTAAAAGCAGTTGTAATAACTTGACTAACTCAGTGTTAATTAACCTTCTAGGAGTTTTTATTATTAAAAGTTTCTAATGACTGTTGCTTTTACCCATCTTGCTCTAACAATCTGTTCTCATACCGTGTTTTATAAAAATAATGATAATTTTATACTACTTTAGTGATTTTTAAGAACTTAACTTTCAATTGATATAATTAATCCATAATAATGGACAATATGTAAAATCTTCCTGTAAATAAGAGTTTAGGAATTATCAGCCAATTGAATGGATGAATTTCCTAATCCATTCTTGGTCGACAATCACAAGTTATTTTCTAAATTAGGACTTGAAATTTTCATCATTTTCTGTTATATTTTCAGCCAATTCTTAATATTTTTAATATATCCCCATATTCATTGTTATTTATAAACTAATAATGTCACAAGAAACCATTGCAGGTACCATTTAACAGCTCTGTTAAGAGCTGAAATGTTTGTATTCTCCAAAATTCAAGAGTTGAAGTCCTAACCATAATGTGATGGTATTTGGAAATGGGGCATTTAGAAAATAACTAGCTTTAGATAAGGTTAAGAGGGTGGGCTCCACACTATGGGATTAGTGCCGTTATCAAAAGACACACCAGAGCCCTTACTTCCCCAGCTCTTTCCCCTCCCACAAGGAAGAGGTAACAAGAGCATTGCTGGCATTGCTGGCATCTTGATCCCGGACGTTGCAGCTCCAGACTGTAAGAAATAAATTTCTGTTGTGTAAGCCACAAATCTAAGATCTTTTTGTTATGGCGGCACCCTCTAAGACAAGCCCCAGTTTATGCTTCAGTTGGTTTTCTTTGGTTGTTAGAGACTGACACTGACCAACGTAAGCAAAACAAAAGGATATATTGGAAATATACCAGGGAGCTCACAAAATTAAAGAAAAAGCAGAACAACTGGAACATGCGAATGGTTTCAATAGAGAGTTGTGTTGAATATTGTGATAGCAGGAGTAAGGTTACCATCTTTCTGGGCATTTCTATCAGATGTCTCAGCTCCTATTACCTTCAGTCCAACCACCTTCCATTCTCAAGTATCTTTGCTCAAGATGCAAATTCCCATCAGAGAGAACTTGGTCTGTCTGCGAGTTGGTAAAATTTAATCTGGGATTTTTGAATCAATTTTTATAAGAAAAATGAGTCAAAATTATATTTTTTCTTTGTCATTTTCATCTTTTAGTTTTGTTAGCAATATGATGCATATTTTATACTCTAAAAAGGAATGATGATTTGAATGGTTTCAATAGCATAGGAATATTTTCCTGGAAGATTTGAAATCATTTTCTTTGAAACCATCTGTGCTTTTTGATTTCTCCATATTTTCTGTCATACTGTGAATCAATTTTTGTGGCATTTCCCTAGAAAGTCATTCATTTTTATCCAGATTTTCAAATTTCTTAGCATTCAATCATACAAATTATTTTTTATAGTGAAGAATTCTATTTTTCTAGTTTTATTGAGATGTAACTGACATATAGCATTGTATTAGTTTAAATATACAACATAATTATTTGCAAAATGTGTTATATGACTATTCAAATGAAAGTAAGTTCAGGATAATACTTTATCACTGAATTTTTCCCCAAAATTCAGAAATAAATTTTACTCATAGTTGCACTGATTAGGATTACTCTGATTTTTCCCTTCCTGATAGTTTCTATACTAAGACAGTTCACTTTTTTCCCAAGCTTTATGGCATGTAAATAAGCATTTTAAAACTTCTATTGTTCAGGATCTGAAACAATTTGATTCATTATTTTAAGAAATAACCATGGTAAAATCAAAGAAAAACAAGAAATTTAAGTAGGACATTTTACTAAAATATTCATATACACAATGATGACAAGGTTCTGATTCAGATTCCATGAAAAAACATTCAATATATTTCAGTAAGAATCTTTATTCTTAAAGGTAATGATTACAGTAATATTCTGAATCCCTTTTAATCTTACTAATGCATGAGTTTCTATAAGATTTGACAGATTGCAATTTTCTATATACTACAGGTAGTAGGTGCTACTTGATCTTGGCGGTGCTGTTTGAGGAGATCAGATATGGTGTGAAGGCTTCCTGGTGTTGTGCCATATAACGGATTTGCAAAGGACATAGAACTCTAAGGAAAAACACATTGAAAAGATTAGGATTTTAGGCATTAAAATAAGAGACTTCTTTACATATCATGAAGAACACAGCAGCTTTTTAATGAATTTCCACTGGAGCAATAACTGGAGCATTCCCAATTCTTCCTCCAGCACCCCGGTCTACACTGCCTGAACCTCCGGCACAAGCTCAGTCTCCACAAGTGCCTGTCTTCTGTGCACAGGAGCCACCGTCTCAACCTCACCTCGGGGAGATGGGAGAATGCAGCTGGCAGGACCTTGACTACTACTTTTTATGGTGCTCCTTTCTCTGAGCCTGCTGTGTTGATTATAGACATGTTAAAAAAATAAAAATAAAAGAAACAGCCAACAGCTTTCAGTTGGGAGAATTTTATTTAGCAGAGGATATTAGATCATCTAAAATTTGGGACATTCTATAGGACAACCTGATTTCTTTAACAAGTAAATTGCAAGGAAAATATAAGAGTGAGAAAATGGAGCCTAGTGATTAAAAGAGGCTTAAAGAGGAATGTCCACCAATTTGGATACATATATCTTATGTTAACTTTGATTTTTTTAAAAATATAGCAACAACAACAAATATAAATTCCCTTACTTATTCATGAGATAATTGGGGTTGGTTGAACACTGACTGAATATTTGATGGTATCGAGGAATTACTGTTAAATGTTTAGGTGAGATACTGTGGTTATATTTTTAAAACGTCCTTACCCTTTAAATGTACAACTGAAGTCTTTACAGGTAAAATGAAATGATATTTGGGATTTGCTTAAAAACACTCTGGCTGACACCAAAAGTGAACCTTACTGTAAACTATGGAATCTGGGTGATAATGACACCTTAATGCAGGTTCATCAACTGTAAGAGTGTCGCACGCTGGTGTGGGATGAGAGTGGAGGGCGCTGTGCATGTGTGGGGGCAGGGAATACATGGGAGCTCTCTGTGCCATATGCTCAATTTTGCTGCGAACCTAAAAGTGCTCTAAAGAAAAGAAAGTCTATTTGAAAAAATGCCATCACCACTGTGGTGGGTGGAGGAAATGGGTGGCAGTAGAAGTGAAGCTAGAATGACCATGGGTTGACAATTGCTGAATTTGGCTGAGGATAGTGGTTCATTATACAATTATCTCAATTTCCATATCAGACTATGAGAATTTTCTCTGTGTGTTTAGAATAGTATTTTGGAGAAGTATATTTCTCTATTATAATGTCAGTGGAGCATTTAGTTTAATTACTACAAAGGCATTTGTTTCTGAAACAATAGAAATCAAAATAGCAACAAAGGTCAAAAGCAATTATAGGATTTCTTCTCTAGCCATTTTTAATGGAAAGAAAAAGGAATGTGAAAGAGAAAAAAAAAAATTTATTAGAATAGAAAATAAAAAGAAATTTCTTCCAAGGTTTTCCGGAGTCGTCAGTCGCGCTAACATGGGTACACGCAGTCGAAAGCATCTTGAAAGCACCTTGAAAAGTGGGTCTTTGATACGGACTTCTTCCTGAGCACTAGAGAAGCCACCTTCTCAATGGAAAGTAAAGGGTGCATAGCACCTTCCTAGCATATATTTAATTTTTGCAAGTTGATAAGATATTAAATTAAAAATGCCAAATTTAAAACATTACATTTTAATTCCTGTATGATTTGTATCCGTCAGATACTAAAAGCCAAATTAAGCTAAAGATAAAAAGAATAAAATTTATTTTCTTTAGTAAAAATGAAAATAGGTTTATATTATACCTTCCTACTTTGTCAAAAAGATACATTTGGTTTCTTAAATATGCATTTTATTTATTACCCATTAAGTAGGAGTACATTTCACTTTTATTCGATGTCTTGATTGACTTCACAAGTCACCCAAGTTAATTCTCTCTGTGCTCTGGGAAATATCTTACCTCTTGTTTTCAACCCTACCAAAACAATACTAAAAGAGAATATGACATCGTTATTGATGGAAACAGAAAAAATTCAAGGGTTGTGTTAGACTCCAAACCTCAAAACTAAAAGAAACACCTTTGCTACCATCTTCTATAACAGTTAACAAACTGTTTCAAGAAAAAATGAGAAGAAAATTAAAACTTTTATATGCTCACTTTGACAAGAGATTAAGTTTCATATAACATTTCTAAAATCAGATACGAGGAAGCTTTCATAGATAGGAAGCCCTGTGTCTTGGCTAACCCCATTTTATACCCAAGTAAATGCCCATATTACCCACTTAAGAAAAGGGTGAGAGAAATTTTATTTGCCATTTTCTCTGTAGCCTACTTCTTATGCTAGTAGGGAGTAGGCCTAAAATGGGCCCAGAAAGATGTAATGCATTTATTTCTCTTTTTATCTTCAGAATTTTCAGGTTAAGGCCCTCACTGCCCACACCTACAATGAGAGAGAGCACAGGGTGCTATCCTCTGTTTTGTCTTTGACAATAAAATATGAAGAACAGCCAATGAGTAGTTACTGTGAGTAGCTGACTAACACTCTGTGGGTTAAACGGGTATTTTCCAAATTTGTCAGTTCTCTGAGTATGAATAGTGACCACAAAGCCATTTAACAGTGGACTGATTTCGCAAGCAGAGTGAAACTATCCTGCAATGGAAAATTTTCACAACACATTTAGGGACACTGAAACTCCTTTCCACCCTCAAATGGAATAATAAATAACTCCACAAAAATATTCCTTTTAGTAAAACATGTTCAAACAACACTGTGTGTGTGTGTGTTTCTGCTTCTGAAACAATACAGTTCACCAATACCTCTTACCTCTGATTTCTCTGGGTTGCTCCAACTCCCATAGACTGGATTAACAAATGCACAATTAACACTTCCTTTCATTTTTCTTAAAATACACAGGGCCCCCCAAAAGAAAGAAAGAAAAAAAAAAGAATAAGCATTGAAATATACCATGATATATTTTAAGTTNACACAAAAAAAAAGAAAAAAAAAAAAAAGAATAAGCATTGAAATATACCATGATATATTTTAAGTTATNCCCCAAAAGAAAGAAAGAAAAAAAAAAGAATAAGCATTGAAATATACCATGATATATTTTAAGTTATTGTCTAGCAGAAATCTTTGAGAGACACATTGTCTAGCCACTGTATTTATTTTTATGAATGTATTACCATAAGTAAAGACTTTTTGCCTGACATCAAAGCATCTACATTCTTGAAAGCAAGTGTTATTTATCTTTTGAATATTTAGATCCAAATAAACCCAGGCAAAAACAAAAATGGCATAAGTTGACCTTAAAATTGATTTCTTAAAATATTACTCCAATAATATAAGGGGTACAATATTAGAAAGAGAAATATAATGTAAAACTGAACTAGTTATAAGGAAGGCCACCTTGAAGTTCTTGAGACTTCAACAGTGCCAAGCCCTCAAATCCCAAGGACTATTTTCCACGACAACATCTGTCTTAAGGATTTATGGCATCAGAGTCTTTAATATTTTAAACAGAAAATTTAAATATGGGTGTTTTTGAAAGTTCTTTATGTTAATGTTTCCTTTTGTGAATCACAAAGAGACATGTCCTTGGCCATCTCACATATTGGTCTAATTCTACATAATTTACTCAGATGTACTGCACACCTAAATCATCATTTTCTTTTTATACTTTACTTACTTAAGAATCAATAGGCTTATCACAAGACAACTAGCCTGGAATAGTTGCTCACAATTGATAAAGAAAAAATACCCACCACAAGAACAGAAAAATATATAACCAGATAACCAAATACACCATGTTAAAGTCAGAGGAAGGATCACATTACATGCATTCACACATACACATACACACATACACATACACATACACATACACATACACATACACATACACATACACATACACATAATGGAGAATGGAAGACCAATTCCAGAATGATTGCCAGTGTCTTGAGGACAACTGAGGAAAAATATATCCATGAATACTTTTGCCTAATCAGAGTATAATGACAATACATTTCTCAATAATATACCTTTAAATCCTAAAAGAAGAGATAATAAAGAGGAAGCTCCTGTTGATTTGCTTTTTGAAAATAGATCGTCACAGGTATGGCCTCTTATTTCATCTGCTAAACCAACCACATGGTCCTCTTCTGAAAAGTGAGCCCAACAGCATAATCTGGGTAATTGTGTTTGGCTGGTGATACATTCTCCCTGTAGAGTCAGTGTCTTCGAAGCTTCCTGAACTCCACTGTGTCTGTGCAATTGACTTAAGTATTCAATAGCCTCACCGGTTCACCTCACTGAGTCTACATTTTGGTTATTGTTGAAGAGGGCAATAGCAGCCTTTTTGTGGGTTATATTTTGAAAAAAAAAAAAAATCATAGAATACTCTTAAATGATGAGGCAAGTATCATTAATTAGATACTTATGAGTTGTTCCAATTAAACCAAACAAGTTGTGTTCGATTGCTTGCCTTTTCGCCTCCAAGGCTAATCAATGAGAAATTCTCAGAGTAGCAAGCTCAGTAAATGGTATAGTTAGGGCATGAGCGGGGCTGCTCTCAAAGTAGGGTGGTGAAGGCCTGGGGTGGGGCGGGAACTGGGTGGATGAGGGTAATGGGGAAAAATTGGGGGACATCTGTAATTCTCTTAACAATAAAGGTAAAAAAATAATAATGCCATTACTTTAAACAAAATAAATTGAGACTTAGTAGAAAAGGGAAGTTTTGAAATGTGTAAAAATGTCAAAGCAAAAGCTGGTACAGGAGAGACTGACATGGAGGTGGGGAGAATCAACACAGAATGAAAATTAGGAAGTAGGTAAGGAGGGGAGAGCCACCGTTACCAACAGCTCAGAAAAATTAACCTTGGCCAGAATCAGGCATGAAATCAGGAAGCGGGAGGAAACCCAAACCATAGGACTAGACAGGACAGATGGTCCAAAGGCCGGGCAGGCAACCAGGAGCTGAGGGACAGGCTTGGCAGCCAACTGGGTAGAAGCGGGGCACAAGCAACACAGAAGATCTTGATATGAGGTGATTGTTTTTGGCTTTGGACTGCTGGGACCCCAGATGACCTAGACCAAGATTAGCAGGCTGAAGTCAGGTAAATTGATCAATTTTCCAGCTCTCTTAATTCAGCTACTGAATCTATTTTTCTTCTGAAAGGATTTTGTCTTAAGCAATTTTCTATAAATGAAAAAACAAATGTAGGTGGCCATGCTTTGGGGATCTGGTGACTACAAAGAAGGAAAAGCGCTGCTGAAGGCTAAGAATGTAGAATTGTAATAAAGAAGAATGGGTCACAGTATGAATAGAGGAAGGTGAGCAATGGTTAAGCCTTCCTACTTCAAATTATCTTTATTAGCAATCTCAAACTTTTATTTTTTCCAGATCAAAAGATGTCTCCAATACTGGAAACCTCTGAATGGTTAGGATTAATTCTTAGTGCCTTTCCAATTTATGAGGGAAAATATCACCCGCAAACCATAAATACTTTCATTAAGTGCATTTCTAGTGTGAACTCCATACATTTACCATTTCAAGTTCTGTGGTATAATTTTCTACCTTCATCAATTTTATAAGTTTGATTTTCAAACATAAACAATTTTCCTTAAAATGATGAATCCTTATATGAGGAAAACAAAATGTTTGATTATGGAGTTTTCTGCTGGTTCTAACACTGTATGTGGTGCAATGGTAAGTCTGCATTAGGCTAAAAAATGCTACATTTAACTTACTTTGTTTGTGGATAGGCAGATGATTTGGAAAGAGCTCGGGTTTCAAAGGATCTAGCCACCTCTAGGAATCAGCAAGGAACTGACTTAGACATTTGGCGTAGAGGGAAAAAACCCTGCAGGATCACAACAGTTTTTCCACCCATAATTTATGTAGCCAGTTAAATTATTATTAAGCTCCTGCTATATCCCATACATGCAGACACTGCATAACTGGGATTCTGAGTGGGTTAAGGAGAGAAATGTCAGCTCAGAACTAGGGTAATTCTGATGAGAATTCCCAATTGAAGTGTAGTCAGCATATTTATACCTCTAAAGGAATTCACTTCATGGCTTATTAACTAACAAAGTATTTTAATGTTAATTAAAAACATGGAAGGGTTTATAATAGATATCTGAAATTACTGCAAATGCCAACGAAGAAAAACAAAAAGAATCAAACAAAAACTCATCTATGTTCAATACAGTAAATACGACTTTGAGGTAAATGTTTATTTTATTTTTATATGCAGGGGTGGGCAAAAGTAGGTTTCCAGTTCTGAGTACACGAAACACAGAGTTTAACCTTGTATTATTATTTATTAATTATTGTATTGTTTTCCATATGAACAACTGTAAGCCTACTTTTGCCCACCCCTGTATTTTAACAGCCTTACTGAATTATGATTCACACACCGTACAATTTGCTTATATAATTCAAGTTTTACAAGTAATATTGATATTAATTTAATTAGTTATTAATTTTTAGAACTGTGGTAAAATAACCTAAAGTGTGCCATGCCATTTTAATCGTTTTTAAATGTACAATTAGTGGCATTCATTACATTCAGTGTTGTGCAACCCTACCTATTTCCAAAATGTTTTCCTCACCACAAAAAGCAACTCTGTAGCCATTAAACAGCAACTCCATGTTTTCCCCTTCCTCCAGCTCCAGTAACCTCTAGTTTATTTTCTGTCTCTTTGAATTTGTCCGTTCTAGATACTTCATATGAGTGGAATCATACAATATTCATCATTTTGTGTCTGGCTTATTTCACTTAGCTTTCCAAGTTCATGTTATAGCATGTACAGCAACTTCAGTCATTTTTACGGCTGAATAATATTCCACTGTATTCACATGCTACGTTTTGTTTATTCAGTCATCTGATGGTGAACACTTGAGTCGTTTCCACCTTTTGGCTCTTGTGAATAACCTGCTATGGACATTGGCATGTAATTATCTGAGTCCCCACTGCAATTCCTTTGCTTGTATAATTAAGAGTAGAATTGCTGGGTCATATGGTAATTCTATTTAAGCTTTTTGAGGAAGAACCAAACAGTTTTCCACAGCAGTGGCATCATTTTACATTTCCACCAATATTTTATGAGGTTTTCTATTTCTCCACATCCCCATGCTTATTACTTTTATTTTGTTATTATTATTATTGCTGTCCTAATAGGTGTGAAGTGGTATTGAATTGTAGTTTTGATTTGCATTTGCCCTAATGACATTAGTATTGGCCATTTGTAAATCTTCTTTGAAGAAATGTCTGCTTATTTTTTAATTGGGTTGTTGGCCTCTTTGTTGTTGAGTTGTAGGAGTTTTTATGTATTCTGGATATTAAACTCTTATTAGATATATAATTTGAGATATTTTCTCCCTCTTTGTAGTTTATCCTTTCACTTTCTTGATAATGCCCTTTCATGCATGAGTTTTTGATGAAGTCCAATTTAATTGTTTTTCTTTTGTTCTTGTGCTTTGGGTGTCATGTCTAAGAATGCAGTGCCAAATCCCAGGTCATGTAGATTTACTCATATGCTTTCTTCTTAATGTGTTATGATTTTAGCTCTTATATTTATATCTTTGGCCCATTTTGAATTAATTTTTGTGTATGTTATGTGGTAGGGGGTCACCTTCATTCTTTTGCATGTGAAAATCCAGTTGTCCCAGCACTATCTGTTCAAGAGTCTGTTCTTTTCCTATTGAATGCACTTGGTACCCTTGTCAAAAATCAATTGGTCATAGATGTATGGGTTTGTAGTTGAATTATCAATTCTAGTCCATTGATCTAGTCCACTTATATGCTCATACCTCACTGTTTAGTTTGCTGTAGCTTTAGGGTAAGTTTTCAAATCAAGAATTGTAAGTTCTCCAACTTTGTCCTTTATCAA